AAAAAATACTTTGCCGACTATGTAAAATTCTTTTTCAACAATACTATTTTGAAAGAGAATTTTACATAGTCAGTAAAATGTTTTTCAAAGATATCTCATGATTCACAAGGCTAATTTTGACAATTTAACCACTATTAGATTTCTCTCAATGAGCTCTATAACTTTAATTAGAAGCCTAAAGGTGATTAATTTAGTACAAAAAAAGTTTTAGAATGATGCAGCCCATATTCGCAAACTTTAATTTCTATATATAAACTGTGTCATATTATACTATGACCTCTCTCTGGCTGACTGACAAATCACCAATTAATTGATAAGCCTTCTATTAACTGAAAAATAGACAAAATATGGTGTACCTTCATCTAAAATTTTTTTCTTACTAAGTTAACAATATGATATATGTCTACTAATTGAAAGTTGTGGAACTTATTAAGACGCATCTAATAATGGTTAGATTATTCAAATCGGTCTAGTAGATAGTGAGATATCATCTAAAACAATTGGTCAACTATATAAAATCTTTATATAAGCAAATATTGTTTATATAGAGATTTTATATAGTTGACCAATTGTTTTTTAATAATATCTTGCCATCCACTAGGCCGATTTGGATGATCTAACCACTATTAGATGTATCTCAATGAGCTCTACAACTAGTGGGCATATATCATTAACTTAGTAAAAAAAGTTTTAGATAGAAGCACGCTACATTTTGCCTATAGTAATTTTCATATATAATCTGTATTACAAATATTTTATATAATTAGCCAATTATTTTTTAACAATATCTTGCCATCTACTAGGCTGATTTGGATAATCTAGCTACTGTTAAATATATTTTGATGAGCTTTACAACTTTTAATTAGTAAATATATATTATTAACTTAGTAAGAAAAAAATTTTAGATAGAAGCACACCACATTTTATCTATAGTGATCACTTTCTAGTTAACAGATAGATTATCAATTAAAAGAAACTTGGAATAACCTAAAACCTAGCACAAAAAAAAAATACAGCGAAGCAAAAAGAAATACAAATCTGGAAATAATAAAAAAAAGAAACGCAAAAAAAAAAACAAGTATATCACTCAATACTAAAAAGACAAAAAAAAGAAACAAAAAAGAGTACTAAGGCTTTACTAGAGAGAATAAGAAAAACAACGAATTAAAAAAAGAAGAAGAAAAAAAAGCATTTAGAAAAAAGATAGAAACACAGAATAATAATATACAAGAAGTAACAATAACTTTTAATAAAAAAGAAAAAAAGAAACAAAGCAGACAAATAGAAAAAAAAAAGAAAAAACAGTATTCGATTAATTTAGAATATTAAAATAATGAAACTAAAGAAAAAAAAAAATATACTTGAAAACAAAATATACAAATCAAAGCAACAAAAATTCAAAAAGAAGCAATAGGCAAACTAGAGTTACAAGATCACAGAAGACAAGCCAGATCATCAAAAAGAAGACGAATTCAAGCTCTAGTACAAATAAGACAAATTCGAGCATGAATGCAGATCCAAAAGAGAAAAAAAAGAAAACTAAGCTGGAAGAATTAAAAAAAAAGAGAAAAAAAAGACCCTTTAAGAGACTACAAAGATAGAAGAATATAACAAACTACAGAAAAAGAAAAAAATGAAGAAAAAATAATACATAAATTAGAAAAGATGGTTGATAAAGAAAAATATACAATTCTTACTAATAGAGTAGTTAATAAGAATATTTGTAGTAGTTTTTAATTAAATTTTTTTAAAAAAAGCATTCATTGTTTAAGCTTAATTGCCAAAATTTCATTGTCTAGTAGGTTTTGATTCTATTTTTAAGACAGTTACCTTTTCATGTATCTTAACCCACGCATAACTGTAAAGATTTATTAATTGTTTTTGACCCAATTCATCTAATTTAAGAAGAGTTTTATTAATAGTAGTTTTTGAATCCAATCTAATTAAATTTTAAAAAAATGATAGTTTTTTGATGAAACTTATTTTTCTAAATTTATTATACATTCCTAACCTGTGTATAACTGTCATAACCAACCAATTAACTTGTTATATCTATAAAGATTTGTTCTGGTTGTTTTTGAACCCTGTTATCTAATCAAGATTTTATTAATGGTAGTTTTTGAATCCAATTCAATTAAATTTTAAAAAAAGGTATTCGTTGTTTAAGCTCAATTTCTAGAAAATTCATTGTCTGATCCTATTTTTAAGACAGTTACCTTTTCATATATTCTAGCTCATGCATAACTATTGTAACCAACTAATTAATTTTTTATATCTGCAAAAATTCATTCTAGTTGTTTTTAACCCAATTCACCTAATTCAAAAAGAGTTTCATTAGTAGTAGTTTTTGAATTCAATCTAATTAAATTTTAAAAAAAGTATTCATTGCTTAAACCTAATTGCCAAAATTTCATTGCTTGGTAGTTTTTGATTCTATCTTGAGATTTAGTTACCTTTTCAAATTGTTATGTACCCCTAATCCATGTATAATTGTCATAACTAACCAATTAACTTGTTATGTCTACAAAGATTCATTCTGGTTGTTTTTAAATTCTATCACTTAATTAAGAAGAGTTTCATTAATGATAGTTTTTGAGTCCAATCTAATTAAATTTAAAAAAAGTATTTGTTACTTAAGCTTAATTGTCAGGAATTTCATTGTCTAGTAGTTTTTGATCCTATTTTAAAGCTTAATTACCTTTTCAAATTTGTTATATATCTTTAACTCACACATGATCAGTATAACTAATTAATT